CAGCAGTAGCAGACGGGGTGCATGGCCCAGTAGATATCCAGTTGGACAGGCCGTTTCTGGGCAGATGTCCTTGCAGAAATACTTTTTGTGTAAGGTTGTGATGACCTTTGTGCAAGGATGTGGTTTTTGCAGTCTTTCGTGATAGTTTTATCGGACATACAAGCATGAGATACCTTCTTAATTGCCTTCTCTGGCTCTTTTTGTCACTTTTTAAATTATTTCTTATGTATGTATGTATTATAGAGACATAGTCACACTGTGTGGCCCACGCTGTTTATGAACTCCTGGGCTCAAGAGACCCTCCCACCTCAGCCTCCCAAAGTGCTGGGATTAAAGGAATGAGCCACCATGCCCAGCCATATTTGTCACTTTTTTTTCTTGATTTTGATTCTGAAAACTTTTATAAAAACAACTGATATTTGTTTTAGCATTTCTCAACATAATCTACAGACAATCCACATTACGAACACTTGGACTGCTTTAATGAAAGCAGATTCCTGGGGGCTCACCTGCAGCCTGCTGAGTTAAAAACACTGGGGCATTATTAGGTGAAAAGAATTTGAGAACCACTTGTTACTTTAGTGTTTATCACGTGCTAGGTATTGTACATAGTCTTTACTTGAGTAAACTCCTTTATAACAACCCTAAGACGAGATAAATTATCCCTATATTACAAGTGAAGAAATTTACATTGCTGACTAATGATGGAGAACTTGAATCCTTCTCAATCGTTGAAAGACAAATGCTTTTTCCAGGATATCCCATCTGTCTCTAGTGTGAGCAGTCAGCTCTGATGTCTTAGGCATGCTTCCTAAACGTCATGACATATGACATGCAATCTGTTACTCAGATGAAAAACACTTTCTTCACAGACACTCCATTTGGGAAAGCAAATATTTGGTTAGGCTGACTATATTGTGGACTGATTTCTTTGTCCCTGCACCTGTCTTCCAAAAAACACAGATGACCTGGGATTGCTTGTGCCACAAAATGCATGTGGAATATCAAGCAATTATTTAGTGGTTTTAGGGTATAATGACATCATTAGAGGACACCCAGAAAATCAATTCTCTTGACTTGTTTCTCTTCTGAGTCAGGGTTACCTATTTGTTTATTTCATAAATATTTATTGTATGTCTATTATATTCCAGGTACTATTCTAGGCAGTGGGGGTATGATATGTAACATGCAAAGGAAACAAACATCCATGCTCTCACAGAGTTTATCCTGCGGGCTTCTATCTCTACTTCACCTCAGTAACCCAGTGAAAAAAAGCAAGTTGACGGCTGTATTGCCACAGGTAATTTAACCACTTTGGAATGTTTTCATTATTTTGCATTTCTTTACATAATTCCTAGAAAAATCTATGAAGATTCATAGAGTAAAATGCAAAGTTTTGGAGTGGAGTCTCCATAGATGATAACATCCTTTAAAGAGTGTTCTTTTTTATTTTATATTCAATATGTTTTATTCAATTATTGTCATTATACTTTTTGATATAAAGTTGTCTAAAATGCATCCAATGGAAGGTTCTTCATGCTAGCTTCGGGGTCCTTTTAACATGTCTCTATAATTTTTGAATATTAGTTTCTGCCACAAGATGTCCCAGACTCAACTCCTCCATTCCTTAATCCAAACCTGGATTAGCCATTTCTTCGAGGAGTTTTTGGTCCTTTTAGTGGAAAAATGGTATTTAGTTACCAAAACTTGTGCATCATGCGTGCTCATGGCTGCTGGTTTTTATTTTTCTTTATTTTTATTGTTGTTTTTCTTTAAGTTCTGGGATACATGTGCAGAAGGTGCAGGTTTGTTATATAGGTATACATGTGCCATGGTGGTTTGCTGCACTTATCAACCCATCATCTAGGTTTAAACCCCGCATGCATTAGGCATTAGTCCTAATGATCTCCCTCCTCTTGGCCCCCCACCTCCAAACAGGCCCCAGTGTATGATGTTCCACTCGCTGTGTCCATGCGTTCTCATTGTTCCACACCCACCTATGAGTGAGAACATGCAGTGTTTGATTTTCTTTTCTTGTATCAGCTTGCTGAGAATGATGGTTTTCAGGTTCATCCATGTCCCTATAAAGGACACAAACTCATCATTTTTTATGGCTGCATAGTATTCCATGGTGTATATGTGCCACATTTTATGTCCATGACTACTTATAGAGACCGAGAAATAATGCTGAGTCTCAACATTTTATACCCCAAAGACCATAAGGACATCACACATTTTTTACTTGGCAGAGACAGATAAATTCATTGATCTTTACCCAAGCTTCACCCTGATTCTTAATCTGATTCCTTCCCTGAGATTTAAGATAAATGTACCAAAGACTCCTGCAGAGTAACTGAGAGGATAATTTTTTCTGTGATTGTGGAAAAATACATTGTTACCATCTTCTAAACCACAGGGACCTTTCCAGATCTCATGGGCACTGAACAATTTATCCATCCACAGCTGGGAATAGGAAAAGGATATTTTTTCTCCCAGGGTCTAAATTTGACGAACTCTTCCTGGTTCGTTTCTATCTCATCACCTAGTTTTATTTTCTTATTGTATTGAACATTAATTGATACTGTACTTATTTGTTTTCTATGTATCTATTTCTTCTAGAATAAAAGCTCAGTAGGATAGGAGTCAGCCCTGTCATCGTCACTGCTATATTCCACTGTCTGGAACAGCACATGGGGCTCAATAAAAAATTTTTTTCAAGAAAAATTAATAACCATATTAATAGCATTAAGGTTTTCCTGTTATTAAATGCATTTTATCACAAGAAATATAGTGAAGCTCAGAAAGCTCCCACCACCTACCTAAAGCAGCCAAAATTCTTCCTTAGTGTTGATTACATGTCAGGTGCTTAGCATAGAAAATGCCATCATTTGGTATTGATTGAGGCAATTAAGCTCTTTTCTACTCTATTTGTAGGTGCAGTATCCATAAGCCATGGAGAGGAGCAATCACTCAGTGACTGAGTTCATCCTGCTGGGCTTCACCACAGATCAAGGGATGCAGCTGGGACTGTTTGTGGTGTTCCTGGGCGTGTACTCTCTGACCGTGGCAGGAAATATCACCCTCATGGTGTTGATCTGTAATGACTCCCGCCTCCACACACCCATGTATTTTTTCCTTGGAAATCTGTCGTTCCTGGATCTCTGGTACTCCTCTGTCTATACCCCAAAGATCCTAGTGACCTGCATCTCTGAAGACAAAAGCATCTCCTTTGCTGGCTGCCTGTGTCAATTTTTCTTCTCTGCTGGGCTTGCCTATAGTGAGTGCTACCTGCTGGCCGCCATGGCTTATGACCGCTACGTGGCCATCTCCAAGCCCCTGCTTTATGCACGGGCCATGACAAGTAGATTGTGCATCTGTTTGGTTTTATATTCCTATGCTGGTGGTTTTGTCAATGCAATAATATTAACCAGCAATACATTCACATTGGATTTTTGTGGTGACAATGTTATTGATGACTTTTTCTGTGATGTCCCACCCCTGGTGAAGCTGGCATGCAATGTGAGAGAGAGCTACCAGGTTGTGCTGTGCTTGCTGCTGGCCTCCAATGTCATCTCCCCTACAGTGTTCATCCTGGCCTCCTACCTCTCCATCATCGCCACCATCCTGAGGATACGCTCCACCCAGGGCCGCCTCAAAGTCTTCTCCACATGCTCCTCCCACCTGATCTCTGTTACTTTATACTATGGCTCCATTCTTTACATCTACTCTAGGCCAAGTTCCAGCTACTCCCTCAAGATGGACAAAATAGTTTCTACCTTTTATACCGTGCTGTTCCCCATGTTGAACCCCTTGATCTACAGTCTGAGAAATAAAGACGTGAAAGAAGCTCTGCAAAAATTCTTCAAGTCAGCATAATCCAAAGTCTGAATTGACCTAAAGTTCTCAAACCGTGCTAAGTGATAACAAACCACTCAGAGAGGTTGTGGAACTGGATTTTTGTATCTTTTTTACCATTGAACAAAATTCAACAGGAAAAATTTTGTTTCTTTGCATTTTTTGTTTTTTTTTATTTTGAAATTAGACTATAATATATACTACAGAATTGTAGATTCCATTCGATATTGATACAGTTTTTAAAAATCAGTATCTTCGATTAATGCAAAATGAAAGAGTAATACATCTGGCATCCTAAAGTAAAATTATATTTTACTTTGTTTTTTCCCCTAATGTTTTTCCTACATAGTGAATATTATGGAGATGAAAATAAAACATAATATGGATCATTGATATTTAGGGAATACACCCCAAATCCTTCTGGTCAAGTACTCAAAAAGCTTCCTTTGTGATAGAGGCATAGGGAATGTTAACATTATTTTGATGCAAAGACGTAGGACGTGTTAGAAAATAAATGCAGCTGAACAGAAAGATGAGAAATGTCAAAGCAAAGACAGATGAAACGGCTACAACTATTTGTCATAAATTTTTAAATTTTAATTAATTCTGTAAATATGCTCATTAAAGCAAACGCTATAACCTTTCATTAACCAAGTGCTAACGTCTGAGCTGCAAGCTTCTGATTTGAAAAATGTTACCAATATTCCTTAACTTGCAGTCTTCTAAAGGCTACTAAATGAAATATCAACCCAACCCGCCATCACAAGGGGGTTCAGTTATGGAGTTTGCATAAGGGTTTAAGGAATTGGGCTCACGGCCAGGGCTAGTTTCCACGTGGTTAGCAACATGTTTGATTTTTCAGGGTTTCAGACATCAACCTAAACAAGCTTATCAGTTCTTACGAATGTTCAAGGCCTGGGCTTGGTCCAGGGCAGGGAAAAACATCCAACTTATGTTTTTTGGTCAAGACAAAGGAAAAAGAAAGCGAACTAGGGAACAGTGGTAACTGCTGTTGTTCATATGTTTCATTTTGATGTTGTTACATTGCTGTGTGGTCTGAGAGAGAGTACTGCAGAGTACTCACTCCATGTAAGAGGAACATTCTTTTAAGATGGTATGCAATTCTAAAGACACATATTGATTCATAAATTTAGAAATAGTTTTATTGTCATTGTTGTTTGTAATCTAAACAACTCTTAAACATTTTCCTAATATTTTCTTTATGTATAAAGCATGAGGTTTACAAAGATATTTCCTATATGTTCAATTAGATCTTTCTGAAGAAATTTTGAGGAAATTATTTTCTTAAATATTTGTAAAATCTTGAGCATATTTCCAGAAGTGTCACCATTTCAGATATTCTTCTTACCTAGTAAAGATTGCTTACCCAGCTTCAAAGTCAAAATATATTCATGAAACCACAAAATCTGTTTTGTTCCCAAGATCTCCCAAAGGTAGCAAACACAATGAAATCTGTGAAAAATATAATACTGCTGAGACAAAATACCATATTGCAGAATGTCAAACAACCCAATACTATAAGTTTTAAAGATTAGTTTGTTTTGTTTACATCACAACAAACTAATAACAATTAAAGAGTCATTTGCTCAATCTTTTTAATGTTTTAGATGTGACTTATTGGATTTAATTGAACTACAGAAATGCATATGAACACATTTATAAACCAATAATCTGAAAAATTCAATAACAGCATTTGCAAAGAGAATAACGTTCATGTTTGTGGTTGTATAGTCTTTATTGCTTTCCTGAAGGCCTCTTTGACATCTTTGTTTCTCAGGCTATAGATGAGCGGGTTGAGCAGTGGGTTGATCACAGTGTAGAACAAGGCAGCTACTTTGTCCCTCTCTAGGGAGTAGGTGGAACTAGGCCTTGAATACATAAACAACAGCGATCCATAGAAGAGCGTGACTGAGATGAGGTGAGAAGCACAGGTGGAGAACGCTTTGCGTCTTCCTGAAGCTGAGTGTATTCTCAGGATAGCCAGGAGGATGTTGACATAGGAAATCAGAATAGCAAGAATGCTGGAGAGGACTGTGAAGCCCACCACACCAAGGAGGACTTTCTCATAGACCCTCGTGTCTGAACAGGACATTTTTACCAATGGTGGCACATCACAGAAAAAGTGGTCAATGATATTTTTACCACAAAAACGCAGGCGAAAGGTATTGGCAGTATGGGCTATGGCATTCAAAAATCCTCCTACGTAGGAGCCAGCAACAAGCCCAGTACAGAGGGCAGTGGACATGGTACCTGAATAAAGCAATGGGTTACAAATTGCTGCATGACGGTCGTAAGCCATGGCTGCCAGGAGATAGCATTCAGTGTAGGCTACAACACAGGAAAAAAACAGCTGAGCCCCACATCCAGCCAAGGAAATGCGCTTATCTTTTGAGACACAACTGGCCAGGATTTTGGGAGTATACACAGACGTATACCAGAAATCCAAAAAAGACAGGTTGCCAATGAAAAAGTACATAGGCATATGCAAGTGGGGATCAATTCGGATTAAGATAACCAAGGTCATGTTTCCTGACAAGGTTACCAAATAGAGCATCAGAAACACTCCAAACAGAATCAGCTGCCACTGTGGGTCTGCTGAGAAACCCACCAAGATGAATTCAGTCAGGATGGTGCGATTTCCTACTTCCATGTCCACAGAGGTGAAAGCCTGACTTTCATGAGAAGGGAGAAGTATCATTTAGTGATTTTTCTATTGACATAAGTTAACAAGGGTATCAATTAAATCAACAATTACTAAGAAGCTTGTGGATTTTTCTCCGTTACTATCTAGAATTATAGGACTTCAGTCCATGACTTGGAAAAATTACTGGAATTGGAGTCAGAAATAATTTGAAAATTAGGAATTTTACTTATTAACTATTTATTACAGGGCAAGTTTCATATTCTCATAAATCTTGAGAAAAATGAAGCTCAAAAAGATGACTAATAACTAATAACTTTTTTTTTTTTTTGGATGGAGTCTCCCTCTGCTACCTAGGCTGGAGTGCAATGGTATGATCTCCACTCACTGCAACCTGTCTCCTGGGTTCAAGCAATTCTCCTGCCTCAGCCTCCTGAGTAACGGGGATTACAGATGCCCACCACCACACCTGGCTAATTTTTGTATTTTTAATAGAGACAGGGTTTCGCCATCTTGGCCAGGCTAGTTTCGAACTCCTGACCTCAGGTGATCCACCTGCCTCAGCCTCCCAAAGTGCTGGGATTGCAGGTGTGAGCCACCGTGCCCAGCAACTAATAACTTCTTGACAGACTGTCTGGTTGAATAAAGAAAACATACCTAAAAATAACCAAACCCAATATTGGGTACATTAGTGGGTACTCAAAAAATTTCACTGTGTTTCCATAAGTTATTGAAAACTTCTTATGTGTCAAGTATTTTGGTGGTAGGTATATAAATGCTAGCATACTGTACTACCTCTGCTGCTATTAGTACAAATATAAATACATTACTGACAATGTACCAGATACTATTCTAACTCTTATACTTAACCCCTTGAGACTTGGATGGCTTGGTGGTTTGCTTTGGCCAATAGATTGACAGATAGGCAGCTCCATGTGCATTCAAAGCCTGGATTTCAAGAGGCTTTTTATGCTTCTCTTCACACTTTTAGAATTCTACAACCATCATGCAAAAAAGTCTGGGTTAGTTTGCTGGATGAGACATCTGGCTGTGCTCTCTCTGTCACCCCAGCTGACTGCAAGCAGTCCCCCAAACATGTGGGTGGGGCCCTTCTATATGATTCAGCCTACAGTGGAGCTAAGAGTTACCCACAGACATATGAGGAAGCCCAGGTGAGAAAAGACAGGCTTGGCATAGGCAGAATTTCCCAAGTGATATGAAGTCTGAGTTTAAAACCAGATCTCACTTTTTAGTTCTGTAATCTTGGGAAAGTATCTTAACAATCCCCAAAATACATGTATTTAGCTCCAAAACAGTAAGAGAACATCCATGTTAAGAAAAAAGCCCATTTTCTGGATAGAAAATCAATGTATAAAATTGTAACTATCATTATTCTGAGAGGATAATTATGTGACTTATTTATAAAGTCGGAGCTTGTAAAACATAAATAAATAAATAAGGCCAAGTTTCTATAAATAAGCAATTTAAGCCAGAATGATGGTATCATTCCATATCTTGCTAAGATCCTAGAATTTAATGTTTTTGTAAACTACTCCCATGTAATTTCACAAAGGTGTCATAGGGTTTAGGATCGCGGGGTCCAATAGCTGGCACATACCCATGACACTAATCACCTGTCTGACTTAGGAAAGTAATTCCTCATCTCAGGAACACAATTCACCCATCTGAAAATTTTGGTTGCTACTATTCCAAGCACCAAATTTCTATGATTCCAATTTGTTAAAATATCTCATGGAAATTGTCATGGGCCAGGCATGGTCCATGCTTGTAATCCCAGCACTTTGGGAGGCTGAAGCAGGTGGATCACTTGAAGCCAGGAGTTTAGGACCAGCCTGGCCAGCATAGCAAAATCCTGTTTCTACTAAAAATTATCCAGGCATGGTAGCACATGCCTGTAATCCCAGCTACTCAGAAGGCTGAGGCACAAAAATTTCTTGAACCCAGGAGGCAGAGGTTGCAGTAAGCTGAGATCGCACCATTGCACTCTAGCATGAGTGACAGAGAGATGCCCTGTCTCAAAAAAAAAGAAAGAAAGAAAGAAAGAATAAAGAAAAACTTTCATGAAACAGTACATAGCGTCACTTGTTGCAGTACAGTGCAGCAGAGCAGATTGACAGTCCTTATACACGCATATATCTTTGGATACGCAGGACATTACCACTGCCTTGGTTGGAGTGAGAAATGAAATTTGCTGCAAATAATTGCATCATTCTTTTCATCTCATGATTTGCATACACATTCTTGTTTCCTTAAAATTTAAGTTTATGATATGCACATTTTCTAACCATGGCATTTCTTAATTTCTTTATCTGCAAATAAGTAATGGCTCTTAAATTTCTGGACTCATGAAAATCTTTGAGAACTTGATAAAATTAGCAGTGATAATTCTCAAATATTTTTATGTACATATGTAAAAACACCGAAATTTCAATGAGTTCACAAACTCCCAAAAATCTATTAATTTGCTAGTTATGATTTCATATTTAAAAATTCTACCACTGAAAGATGACTAAGTTTCTATCTGGTGCTAATATTCTGTAATAAGAGAAAAGTAATAGGTATTTAAAACTAACCATGTTTAAAGTTGAACCCCTAATGTTCAGTTCCAAAAATTGATTGTTCAATATTAATTAATAAAATTCTACTCTTCCAGTGTCTGAAGTCAAAAATTTGGAATCAACCTACTCTCTTTCTTTACTATCTACTTTTCAATCTTTCAGAAAATTGTGATTTTCCTACCTTCAAAATGTATCCCAAACCTGACCACTTCTCCCCACCTCCACTGCTACCGCCCTTGTTCAAACCTCCACGATCTATTGCCAAGAATATTGTCATTGCCTTCTAACTCATCTACACCCTTGTTCTCTACGATATATTTTCAATACAACAGCCAGCATGGGCCATTAAATAAATAAATAAGTTGCTTCTGTATTTAAAACCCTGTAAAGGCTTCTCATTTATTCGAAGTTAAAACCCATTTTCTGTCCCTCTCCTACCTAAAGAAACTTACCTCCTAACACTCACCACCTCCTCCTTCCTTCTGCCTTGATGGCTTTCTTACTTTTTCTCAAGTGTACCATCTCTGTCCCAGCATCAAAGATTTCTGACTCTCTGTTCCCTCTGCCTGAAACACTATTCTCCAGATGTTTGCATGGCTCACCCATCCATCTTCTTTAAGTTTCTTCGAAATGTCACTTTCTGACAAAGATCCAGACTAACCACATCTTTAAATTCCATGTCCCTTTCCCTCCAACAATCCTCATCCTTATTGCTCTACTCCGATGCTGCTGTGTTATCCCCCACATCTATTGTCATCCTCTTAACTCCTGCTTATTAAATCGATTGCCTGCATCGATTGCCTGCTTCTCCCCACCAGCATGGGGCAAAATATTTATCTGTCCTGTTTATTGCTGTATCCCAGCACAAAGAACAGTTCCTAGTAACAAACGGGCACTCAGTAAATATTTCTGAATGAGTAATTGGTTAATTACCTTCATATCTTGAAGCTGGTTTAACAAAGTACTGCCTATTTCTAGGCTTGTTCAAAACATCCAGATCAAGATTTATCCTCAAGTAGACTTTTCCAGCACAGTGTGCTGTATCATAATAAAAAGGAAGAGTAAATAAAAGAGAAGACTCACTTCCAAGACCGCAAGTCCATCTTGAATTTGAAACAAATTACCAAATATCTCAATGTAAAATAAAAGGCACAGAAAATGCCCAAGCCGATCATGCTAAAGAATCTCCTATGGAGTGGCTTATCAAGATGCATCTTCCCCTGCTGCAGCCCAGGTCTCTGTTCCCTTCACTGGAGCAAGAAAAATTCTTTGGAAGGAATGTGCCTCTCTGGCACCTGGAATTTAGTGCCAAGAAGTGAAAATGCCATACATTAGCAGTTTAGAGTAGCACAGTCACTGGAGTCAGAAAGGAAGTCACATTCTTTTGTCCTCTTGAATTGTTCACTGCGTAAGTGAATATATAATGGTTCAGCATAGATATAAGACTGTGTTTCAAATTCTAAGGGAGAGCAGGATGTATCACTAAATGGATTTACTAGGGAGTCTGCATGTGCCTGTTTGTGCACCTGTGTGCATGTGTGGCACAGCAGTAATCCTTTGAGAGCCATGCCAGATTCTATATCCCCCTTCTGATTTGCAGCTGAGGTCACAGAGAGGCCAGACCACCTCGCTGCCCCTGATCCCAAGTACTTACACTTGGTTTGGAAGGCCAGCTCTTGGAAGTGACACTTTTCCCTCTCCTCTGGTGTTTGATGTGCCTTTGTTGCACTCAATATATGTATTTTCTCAACAGCCCTTTGAGACATCTCCCTCACAGAAGCACAGAAATATGTGCCTTGTCTCCAAAGAATCAATTAGAGTTCATTGGGAGTTTAAGGATGTTAAATAAATTAGGATATGATGAAATGAGTAAATATTTCATTAAAAGTTGACTCTCTTAATGGATCTAAGTCATAATATAATTCTGTTATATTGTGTCTTATAATTGAATTTTTAAATTGTACTAGAAAATATCATGTGGTCTTATATTTTTTTCCATGCCATATGCTCTTTTCTCTGTCCAGACTACCCACCCTTGTCTCCTCTACTGCAAATCTACTACCTATCCCTGGGGTATGGTCTGAATTATGTCTTCTAGAAATTCATACGTTGAAGCCCTAACTTACAGTACCTTAGAATCTGACTGTATTTGAAGATGGGCCCTTTAAAGAGGTGATTAAGTTAAAATGAGTTAAAATAAGTTAGAGTAGGCTCAATCCAATCTAACTGGTGTCTTTGTAAAAAAAGGAAAGTTGAGCATAGGCAGAGACCAGGGATTTAAGTGCACAGAAAGAAAACCACGTGCGAACACAGCAAGAGTGTCACCTGAGAGCCAAGGAGAGAGGTCTCAGAATCCTGCCAGCACCTTCAACTTGGACCTTTAGCCCTCAGAACTATGGGAGAATAAACGTCTGTTTTGTAAGCCACCCAGACTACACTATTTTGTTATAGCAGCACTTGCAACCTAATGCACTGAATTTCCAGAACGAGGGCCTTTTTATGTTGGAACAGCCTCATGTTTTATTTCTAAAAAGACTACTAAAACTAGGAAATTTGATATTTCACAGTGAAATAGTCTCTGATTTTTAATTAATTTATAACATAACACTAAAAAACAACATACCAAAGTTCATATATCCTTGACTGTTATCAGTCACTGTTCTCCTGGTAAAGATTTTCACTCTAAATCTTCCCTTGCATGTAAAGTTTTCTGAAATCTCTCTCTGACCCTACTTTCGATCTGTTTCTGTGTCCTACCTACATCTTCCTTTCTGTCTATCTCATATGACTGCTCCACTTCTGCCCTAATTCTTTCACTGTTAAGGAAATTACTTTTTTATTGAAAGTACACAGTGATTCTAAGTATTGATATTGGTTATCTATTTTGTCTATTGCTAAGGAGATCTGTCATCTTTGTATAATGGCAAGCTAAAAAATGAAAACCAGAAAGAAAAAAAAAAAAAAACTTGTTTCTAGAGGAATTTTACAGTACTCTTTTTATTTTATTTTATTTTATTTTAAGTTCTGGGCTACATGTGCAGGAACTGCAGGTTTGTTACATAGGTAAATGTGTGCCATGGCGGTTTGCTGCACCTATCAACCCATCACCTAGGTATGCATATACACCATGGAATACTATGCAGCCATAAAAAGGAACAAGACCATATTCTTTGCAGGGACATGGATGAAACTGGAAGCCATTATCTTCAGAAAACTAATGCAGGAATAAAAAACCAAACACCGCATGTTCTCACTTATAAGTGGGAGCTGAACTATGAAAACACGTGGACATAGGGAGGGGAAGAAAACACACTGGGGCATGTAGGGGGAGGGCAAGGAGGGGAGCACATCAGGAAAAATAGCTAATGCATACAGTATATGCTTTTTGTGTGAGACTTCCTAACTCTCTCATCTAACAGGTGAGATAAATACCTTTGTTTTTTTTCTTGTTATTTTTTTGTAAGTTCTGAGTTTACATTCTGTGTTCTCACCAATGAACTTTATGATTTTAGGTAAATCATTTAGTCTATTTAATCCTGATAATGATTACATAACAAGCTATATTATTCTCATTTATTGTTTAAAATACTATATATAGGCAACTTATGAAATGTCAATTTTTTAAAAAACACATTTAATCTCCTTTCTTTCAATCTTCTCAGACTCCTAACAATTTTATAGACTCTATTCCACGCTACCATGCATAGTAGGTTTTGCAAATGCCCCAGCCTCATTTATTTAAAAAATACATTCAAATATCTTAGTTCCAACTTAAAAACACAAATGCAGACTTCTGTTTCCAAGTTATAAAATGATTTTACCTTTCATTCATTTCTGAGAATATAAACCAGAAACAATGACATGGAGATATTCTGTTAAAAAATCGTTTACCAACTATTTTTATTTAAGAAACTTAAGACTATCTAACATTTTCTTCAAGGCATCTCTGACATCCTTATTTCTTAAGCTACAGATCAAGGGATTTAGCATTGGAATCACCAGAGTATAGAACACTGACCCCACTTTATCCCTTTCTAGATCAAAGCTAGTGCTTGGTCAAAAGTAAATGAAGAAGATTGTACCATAATACAAGGTGACAACTGTCAGATGAGACCCACAAGTGGAGAAGGCCTGGAGGCGGCCCTCAGTGGAAGGAATCTTCGAAATGGCTGCAATGATGAAGAGATGGATGCAAGAATAAGTACAGTAGAAGTGATAACATTAAAAGCAAGTATAAAATGCAGCACAACCTGATATCTTTCCACATCACACTTCAACTATACAAGTGGGGGCAGATCACAGAAGAAATCATCAATGATATTGCTGCCACAGAAGCTCAGGAATATCTCACTGGTGATGATGGTTGAGTTTACAAAGCTACCAAGGTATGAAATGACAAGACTGGCACATAACTTTGGGGACATGGCCTGAGAATAAAGCAGAAGCTTGGAGATTATCACACAGTAGTCATAAGCCATGGCAGCCAGCAGGTAGCACTCACTATAGGCCAGCTCAGCAAAGAAGAACTGAGCCAGACAGCCAGCAAAGGAGATGATTTTGTCATCAGAGATGCAGGTCATCAGGATTGGGGGACACAGAAAAATAGCAGAGATTCTGAAGTAATAGGTTTCCAATGAAGAAATGCATGGGTGTGTGGAGCCAAGAATCAACACAGATGAGAGAAATCAGAATGATGTTGTCTGAGAGACTTATGACATAAATGGTGAGAAATATGAAAAAATGCACTTGCTGTAACCCCAAATCTGCTGTGAACTTTAAAAGGATAAACACCTTTACTTTGGTGAAATTTCCCTCATCCACTGATTTTGGGTTGCTGTGATTCCCTTCTGTGAAAATATTGATACAGATGCCATGACTTAAGATAGCACTCACTGTATGATCCTCCATCATTTCCTTTCTGGAAAACTGAAAAATTCAAGTGGTTCATTATCAGTTCATTGTGAGACATGTTTATGCTGAAGTTGGTGTCAGCCCATGTCAGTTCATTGTGAGAGGTATTTATGCTGAAGTTGGTATCATTCCTTTTAGATGGCTGTGAAATCAGTTCTAAGCTGCCATGAGAGATTAGCTATTAGGCACAGAACATACTGCACATCACCTGTTTTACATCTAATTTTTTGCTCCTCTTTAGAAGAAGGGGAATTGTGGATCTTCTCTTCTTGGTGGGGGAGTTTAAAAGAATGTTCTGACATCTTTTCAGGTGTTTATTTTGTCCTTTCTCAGAGATTTGCATGGAAAAAAATAATCTATTATTCTAAACACATTTTATAATATCATTGGAAGTACATTATACTGTATTTCATTCAGATTTTTGTTTTTCATTCAAATGTTTGTTCTCAAAACTAAGAATTCAAGTTTGCATAAAGTAGAATATATGTGATTTGAATTTTTTAAAAAATGTATTTCATTCAAATTTTTGTTCACAAAACTAAGAATACAAGTTTGCATAAAGTAGAACATATGTGATTTGAATTTTTTTTCTTTTTTTAATTGCATTTTAGGTTTTGGGGTACATGTGAAGAACATGCAAGATTGTTGCATAGGTACACATATGGCAGTGTGATTTTCTGCCTTTCTCCCCATCACCTATATCTGGCATTTCTCCCCATGTAATTTCTTCCCAACTCCCCACCCCTCGCTGTCCCTCCCCTATTTCCCCCCGACAGACCCCAGTGTGTGATGCTCCCCTCCCTGTGTCCATGTGTTCTCATTGTTCAACACCCACCTATGAGTGAGAACATGCAGTATTTGATTTTCTGTTCTTGTGTCAGTTTGCTGAGAATGATGGTTTCCAGGTTCATCCATGTCCCTACAAAGGACACAAACTCATCTTTTTTTATGGCTACATAGTACTTCCATGGTGTATATGTGCCACATTTTCCCTGTCCAGTCTATCATCGATGGGCATTTGGGTTGGTTCCAGGTCTTTGCTATTGTAAACAGTGCTGCTATGAACATACATGTGCATGTGTCTTTATAATAGAACTATTTAAAATCCTTTGGATATAATCCTTTGGGTATGTACCCAGTAATGGGATTGCTGGGTCAAATGGTATTTCTCTTTCTAGATCCTTGAGGAATAGCCACATTGTCATCCACAATGGTTGAACTAATTTACTCCCACCAACAGTGTAAAAGAGTTCCTATTTCTCCACACCATCTCCAGGATCTGTCGTCTCCAATTTTTTAATGATTGCCATTCTAACTGGTGTGAGATGATATCTCAATGTGGTTTTGATTTGCATTTCTCTAATGACCAGTGATGATGAGTATTTTTTCATATACTTGTTGGCCTTATATATGTTTTCTTTTGAAAAGTATCTGTTCATATTCTTCACCCACTTTTGAATGAGTTTGTTTGTTTGTTTCTTATAAATCTGCTTTAGTTTTTCATAAATTCTGGATATTAGCCCTTTGTCAGATGGGTAGATTGCAAAAATTTTTCCCATTCTGTTGGTTACCGGTTCATATTTTTTAAGTGGCAAAGCTTCTCTCTATCACTTCTCAAAGCTCAATTTATTTTACCTCAAGTGACAAGAAAGACTCATATTCCTATCATGTCCTTTTTTTCCCTAAATGACATTGTTATTCACACTGTAATCCTGGGACAGAACTTCTGCCTATAACTCAGACAAAGGGTTCCATTGTCAAATAACACTGACTCCATCCATTTAAACAGGTTTATTTAGTGCTGTAGTTCTGGAAACGTTTTCTATGCTAAAGTTCTTTTGAATCACCAAGGGGAAGGAAGGTAGAACATACAAGACACAGTCTTCTCCAAAATACTTAATTATGAATTTGTTTTCTCTGTCTAGCAGTCACTCACACAGTTGTGGAAGAACTATCTAGGGCAGACTGCTTTGGGAATCTCCTCCAGTATTTGTGGCATCTTGCTCTCCCTGCATCCCAGGCACATAGCAGCCAAAGAACAAGGAAGGTTGAGATATACTAAAGAGGACCTAATCCCAAATTAAAGCACTGACTGCAGTGGAGTCCTGCATACTTGTTAGTATATTCCCCACAGCTCGCTGGTTTCTAGTATTAGTAGACACAGGCATCGTAACAGTTAGGTAAATACTGACCACCTCATTTAGCTGACTGCATTCCATCTAAAGTCATTTGGAGTATGTAAAAATGTCACAGGAAGCCATTCATGATGAACATGAACCAAAAGAGAAGAAAACGATATATACAAATGCAGTCTAGGATGGCAATCTGTGAGTTCAGCATGAGGTAATGATAGCAATATAGACCCATGTATTCAGTGCTTATTACATCCCAAAGGATGTGTAACATGCTTAATGACCCATTACCTTGTTAAATTTTACAGAGTCTCATCCCAGATGTGTTTTCATTGTGGCACGTCGTTCTTTACTTCAAAAGAATCTTTCATCAAGCAACTTATCTTTAAATACTTTCCCATAACACCAGAAAAAAATTAACTTCTTATAAACAACATTCTAGGATAAATATTATCCTCAGTTTACATACAAGAAGAGATATTTTGTTTTTTATTTATTTATTATACTTTAATTTCTGGGATACATGTGCAGATTATGCAGGTTTGTTACATAGGTATACACAAGCCATGGTAGTGGTTTGCTGTATCCAT